TCAAGTTATCTTCTTCTTCTTTATAAACCAATAACTAAGTTGCCTGAAGATCTAAGAAGAAAAGCTTTCTTCATTCCTATCTTCTTCTTCTTTTAAATAGGAACAGAAGAGAATGATATCAGTTATGAACACCCAATTGGCCAAATTTAGGATTGCTAGACGAAATCACAGACTCCAGTCCACAAAATCCTTAAAACCAGAGAGCAGAGTCAAATCTCGAGGTTTTCCCCCACAGGAAAGCCCAGATCTCTCAAGAAATCAACAATGCACCACACTGGCACAGTCATTAAAACCCAGATATACCATTATAAAAAAAGACCACCAATAAAAATAATAAATAAATAGCAACTCTATTTCTCACCTTATTAGTGCCGTCGTCATCATCAAGTGTTTATGTCGTGCACATCTCTAGCACATCTGGTAATGACCTCGCAGCCTCTGTCATAAGAATTTGCTGGACCAGGATGGCATTCATAATATGAAACGCCTGGTCTTGAACAAGGAACCATGTCCCTCCTAAGGGTGTCATAGCTTATATACTTCTTCTGCATCATCAGAACTCTCCTACTGACTTCTGATTCCATTTCTGGCTCAGTCAGGCACTCCCCGATCTTCTGATTGCAAACCCCTTTTGCCATAACATCGATTTCACTGCCCTTCAAAGATCTAAGATCAAGAATCGCATCACAGAATGAGAAATGGGTTTGCAGGAAAACAAGTGGAAGAAGGATGGAAAAAAGGAAGAAGAGAGTGGGATTTGGCATTTTGAAGCTGTTCTTCACTGTTTCGTCTCCTTCTCCAGCAATATGGGCTCTGAATGTGAGATTTGGTTGAATGGTCATAAATAGTAAAGCTTTTTTGCCTCCGTTTTACCAAAAGTAAATGGAAACCCATAAGTTTAAAATGAAAATGAAACCTCTCTCTATCAACACAAGTTAGTTGTTATCCATTGTCAACCACTCCTCAGAATTCACAAAGACGAGGATTTTGCATATAATTTTATGACATGAAAGCATATTCTATAAACATAGAAATTTCACTTTTCAAAAAAAAAAAAAAAAAAAAAA